GCCTATAACGTCCTGGGAGAATCCTTTACTCAAAAGCCGGTTCCTTTCAGTCTCCAAGCCATGAGATTGAGAGAGACCGGATTTGGATGAAACACAGGACCTTGGAACAGAAGATCCGGAGTTCTGGGGTGTGGGAGAGGAGGTTCCACCAAAAGACTTTGAAGCAGAGGAAACCAAGGTCTTCGAGGCCAATAAGGCGCAATCAGGATGAGAGACACCTGCTCTGTTCTCATCTTCCTCAGGAGCGGGAGAATTAGTGGAAATGGGGGAAAAGCATAGCCCATCCTGAACCTCCAGGGGCTTGATAAAGCATCCCTCCCCAGTGCAAGGTAGTCGTCTTCTTTCGTGAAGAAAAGCTCTACTTTCCTGTTGGCCCGAGTGGCTAGAAGGTCTACTTGAGGGAGACCCCATTTGTCCACAATCAAGCGGAATACTCTGTCCGAGAGGCACCATTCCCCCGGATCTATCCTGGATCTGCTGAGAAAATCCGCCAGATGATTCCGTTTCCCTGGTAGATGGATGGCAGTAAGGCCCGCCAGGTTTCTCTGAGTCCACCACATCAGGTGATTCATGATTTCCATCATCTTGCAGCTCCTGGTACCCCCTTGGTGATTGACATAGGATACCACAGTGGAGTTGTCCGTCCTTATCTTCACCCATTGCCCCTTGAGATGATTCGAGAAGTGTTTCAATGCTTTGAGGACAGCCAGAAGCTCTAGACAATTGGAATGAACATTGTTTGCCCTGAAACTCCATTCTTCCTGCGCAAAGTCGTGGAGACAATGAGCGCCCCATCCCCATTGGCTGGCATCCGTTGTCACAGTTATCCACGCGATATCTCCTAGTGGAAAACCCTTTGATAGGTGCTCCCTGTTTAACCACCAGATTAGGGAATGGCGTACATTCAGGGAAAGTTTGATGGGTTGGTGCAGGTTCCCGGAGGAGAACTGTCTCAGGAAATTGGCTTGGAATGGTCTCATTCTCCACTGTGCCCATCTGGTCAGTCCTATTGTGGAGGACATGGAACCCAGGAGGCTCATTATGGCCTTTGCCGGGGCCACCCTGGATATCAGCATTCTTCTCAATAACATCTTGAGTTTCTGTATTCTTGCTGATGAAAGTTGGACAGTGCCTTTTAGAGTGTCGAAGTGAGCTCCTAAGTAAACCATAGATTGCGTTGGGTGGAGGTGGCTCTTCTTGGTGTTGATCTTCCAGCCGTGAGCTTGCAGAAACTGAATGCTGGTAATAGCATGGGATGTCAGAGAATCTACGTTGTTTCCTAAGATCAAGATGTCCTAAGATCAAGATGTCGTCCAAATAATGGTAAATCGCAATGTTCTGTTTTCTGAGTTCTGCAATGAGAACAATCAGGACCTTTGTAAATGTCCTCGGAGCTGTGCTCAGTCCAAAGGGGAGGGCCCTGAACTGGAAGTGACCTTCTTCCACAGCAAACCTCAGAAACTTTTGATGAGTTTGGGCGATGGGTATGTGAAAATACGCATCTAACAGATCTATGGACAGCATCCATTGGTTGGGAGACACTACTTTTATTATAGATTGTAAGGATTCCATTTTGAACCTGCGAATGTGCAGATGCTTGTTTAGCCTGTGTAGATCCAGAATGGGTCTCCATCCCCCTGAGGATTTCTTCGTTAGGAAGATGTGGGAGTAAAACCCTTGAGTTCTCTCGCCGGCTGGCACTTTGGTGATAACCTTCTCCTTCTGCAAGGAAAGTATGAAGTCTTGTAGGGCCATGCACTTTTCCTTGTCCCCTGGCCACTTTGTGAGGTGAAAGGACCTGCTTGGAGGATGCTCGAGAAATTCTATCAAGTAACCTCTCCGAATGATATCCAGTACCCAACTGTCGCTTGTGGATGCTTCCCATATCGGTAGATATTGGAGAAGACAAGCCCCGACACCTTCGGATTTGGGAATTATATAGTCATAGATTCCTCTGGTTTTTATAGGAAGATGAACCGCGTGACTTGCCTCCTTTGTTTCCAGCTGGGGCTCCTCTCCCAGGTTGAAATCTGGAATATTCTTTGCCCGGCTTGTAGGACCTACTGTCACGAAAGGAATGATACTCTTTCCGGGCACGAAAGGATCCTTTATACTTTCTCTCCTGAGGTAAAAAGGTTTTATTCCCTTCAGCCGCCCTCTTAATGCATTCGTCCAAATTCTTGCCGAATAACATACTCCCGTGAAATGGCAAAGAACACAAACTATTCTTGGAGGAAGCATCGGCTGCCCAAGATCTGAGCCAAAGAGCTCGCCTAGAGGAAATCGAGAAGGACATATTTCTAGCAAGGCTCCTTACCAGATCCACTGCAGCTTCTGATGAAAAATCAATTGCTAGACGCATATCTCTTAGGTCCTCCACAATGGAAGAACGGCTTCTGCCACTCCTGATGTCCCCTTCCAGTTCCTGTATCCAAACCTTCATAGCTCTTGTAACTGACGTGAGAGCAACGGCAGGGTGGAGACTCGTGCCTGAGGCTACATAGGATTTGGAAAGGTAGTATTCCATCTTACGATCCATAGGATCCCTGAAGGAACCTGCATCGTCTACAGGAAGGGTAGTGTGCTTGGCTAGTCTGACCACTGCAGCATCAACTTTAGGTGGAAAATCCCATGTTTCAGCATCTTTGGAATGAAACGGATATAATCTGGAGAACTTCCCTTTTGCAGATGATCTCCGGTCAGACCTGGACCATTCTTCTTTAATAAGGTCACTAATTGTGGCATGCACAGGGAAAGCCGCTCTTTTTCTTCTAAGATCAGAGAAATAGCGGTTAGATGTAGATGGTTCCTCCTCTGAGGGTTCTTTCAAGGTAAGGGTTTCTCTGACCCGGGCAATTAAATGATCCACCTCCGCAGGTACCAGGAAGTCAGGATCAGGGATAGCATCCTCCTCCGAGGAAAAAGCTAGGTCTCTCAGAGAAGCTGAATCCATTAACTCTTCTTCAGAGTTTCCTGGAGATAAATCTGAGGGCTCAGAATATCTAGGTCGCTTGTGGGTCTTACCACCCTCTCTTATGCCCTGGGCAACTGCATGCTTGATAAGCTGCATAAAGTCCGGTGTTGAATGAGAAGGGCCAGCAGCTGCTAAGAGACAATCTGAACAGAGACGTTTCCCTTCTATGGCTCTGTTATCACAGGATATACACAGCGTCCTTTTGGGCGACTTCCCCTTGGACGATCCTGAAGTCTTTGTACTTTTAGCACTGAAATACAACAAACGTGCTCATTAGTACATTACCTCTCTTTTTTTTTTTTTTAAAAGGATGGCTTACCTATATTGCTTAGATTGTGACCTATTGTGATGAGAAGAATCCGATTCCCTGGATCCTGAGCGAGAATCCATCTATAAGGAATAGATGGAACAGCGAAACTAATACCAAGAAGAAATATATATAAAAAATAAAATAGGAGAAAAACTTACTTCGATGCTTGAGAAGGAAAAAGGAACCTGGAAAGGCGAAGAACCAACAGAATGGTGCAGAAAAAACTTTCCTGGAGGAAGAAACTCAACCTACCCCGAAAAAAGAGGTCTGGCGCTTTAAGAAGGGCATCTGACGTCATCGCGCATGCGCGAATTAGCGAAAAAACGCGCGAACGGCCCAAATGAATGGATTTTGCGCGCGAACGTGCTAATTCGTAAATCGCGTTCGCGCGCTTATTCAGACAAAGCCGCGCGAACGCTCAGAAACAACCGAACGCCGCGCATGCGTCTGGGAGCCCATGAATGCCGTGCAGGCGCCCGTGAGACTCCCGAACGCCGCGCAGGCGCACAGAAATTTCCCGAACGCCACGCAGGCGCCCTGGAACTCCTGAACGCCGCGCAGGCGCACAGGAGCTCCCGAACGCCGTGCAGGCACTGCAGCTTCTGAGGGGGAACCCCAGCACAGAGAGATTACAGTTTCAATTACCTCTGTATCTTCAGAAGAATAATCTTACAGGTAGGAACCAAATCATGGAGACATTACCTTGATTCTGGGGGGAGAAAATCCAAGTCCGGAAACCAGCCATAATTCCATGTTATTCCACTTGCATTACTGCAAGAATTACAGGAAGGTAAAACCCCCGGTCACTAAAGGGGTTTTCTCCAGGGGGACACCTTTGCGCAGGGCCGTATACTGGAGACTTCCCAGGGGAGAGAGGGTGAACTCCCCAGGGGCTAGAGGAACTAATCCTCAGGTAAGCCATAAAGAAAATCTAATAGTCTGAAAAGACCGACATGTCCTAGGGATAGGACAGGAAAAAAAGACTGGGGAAGGAGGGGTAGGAGGTGGTACTTATACGGCTTAATTATTATTCCTGTCCAATGGGGATAGGGAGGAGCTACCCAATGTTGTGCTGCCATGGATATGGCCAGGAAATAAATATATATATATATATATATATTGCCATTTAAATTTTATCGCATAAATAAAAAGCATAACAGATGGATTATAAGTGAGACAAATTCAGCACTGGCAATATATATTTATATTATATATATATGTATATATGTATGTATGTGTGTGTATATATATATATATATATATATATATAAACTGTTTCTGAAGTAAACATATTCTATACTTCAGTTTGATTGGAAACCTTTTCTAAAATATATCAAATTGTAAATACAGGTATCCAGTCATTGTATATTGAATATAACCTTCAAGTGTCTTGGGGGTTTGTGTGTTTTTTATAGTCGATAAAAACATGTTAAATGTGATTAGCTATATAATTGCAATGTTACTTTCAGTCAATGGTAAAGATACTGTCTAAAATATTCTTACTAAAGCACGGTTTAGAAGCTCAAAAATGCCATTACCTTCTGATCAAAAATGTTAGTGCAAATTACACATCTCTCCCATGCTAAATTTAGATGAATTGCCAAAGTGTGATAATTTATGATAGCCCATGTAAGCTGTAGATTTAGGGATCTTGCATTAAGGTAATATTTAAAAAATCACTGGTAGTGATGTCGCGAATGGTTCGTGGTGAACTCCGGTCAGCTGACACATCCCTGCCTATCTCCGGCAGACCCTCTCTCCCAGACCCTCCTACTTCCTGGACAGCATCCATGTTGAAGGCAGCTTCAACATGGATGCTGTCCAGGAGGTGGGAGGGTCTGGGAGGGAGGGTCTGCCGGAGATTGGCAGGGATGTGTCAGCTGACCGGAGTTCGCCACGACCCGTTCGCGGCAAGTTCGCGAACGGTTCGCGACATCACTATTCACTGGCAGCCTAGGTCAAGATTGTCCATGGTGTGTTTATATAGTGTGTTGTTTTTTTTTTCCCGACTGTTTAATATTTTGTGAATACTTTATTTTATGTAATCCTGTTATTAAACAGAGCAATTCAACAAATAAACATGCCTATGCAGTCTCCAGTCTGTCAGTGTTTAGAGATTTTAGAGTTTGCTAGCTCTGTTGTGTGCAGTTAATTGCACCATCTGTAAATGTAAATCTGTATATGTTTACTGTCATCGGGGCTGCTCTAGAGCATTGACTCATTAAATGAACTCAGAGAGTACTTCTGATCATGCTTAAAGGACCACTATAGGCACCCAGGCCACGTCAGCTCAATGAAGTGGTCTGGGTGCCAGGTCCCTCTAGTTTTAACCCTGCAGCTGAAAACCTAGCAGTTCCAGAGAAACTGCTATGTTTCACTGAGGGTTAATCCAGCCTCTAGTGGCTGTCTCACTGACAGCCGCTAGAGGCACTTCCGCGATTCTCACTGTGAAAATCACAGTGAGAAGGCGTTGTACGTCCATAGGAAAGCATTGACTAATGTTTCCCTATGGGCGGTTTGAATGTGCGCATTTGGATCTGACTTCGACAGGGGGAGGAGAGGTCACCAGCGCTGAGGGAGCCCGGCGCTGGAGAAAGGAAAGTGGATGAAGGGGTTTTATAACCCCTTCAGCCGAGAGGCAGGGGCACCCTGAGGGTGGGGTGAACCTTATGACCCTATAGTGCTAGGAAAACGAGTTTGTATTCCTGGCACTATAGTGGTCCTTTAATTTCCAGTTGTGCATATACTGTGATTTGATAGGTATTGTTAAAGGGTTACTCTAACCAAAACCATTTTTCTGTGAAACCTATGGTTTGGTTGCAGTAACCTTTTCTGTGACTCCCCTGTAGAACACATCCAACTTGGTGTTTGGGCTTATTTATTTTGTTTTGTGAATTGCTTGAGTCACTGTATCTAATTTTGCTTATTCCACACAATTCACAAAAGTGTGCATTATTCCAGGGATTTTATTAAGACTTTTTTTTTTGCTTTAGTATAGTAACGTTTACAGCTTAACTGCAAGGTACTTTTTTTCCCAGTGCTTGTAACGGTTTATTTTTCTTTCTGTATTTCAGCGTCCTCAAAGTCAGAAGGGTCGCCATCTCAGCGCAATGAAAATGCAGTCAAAAAGCCCGAGGAAAAGAAGGAAACTCTAAGACCAAGCAAGACTGTGGTAAGATAATGACACAAGATGTGCAGTGTTGTTTGTTTTCTTTTTTTTTTTTTTTTTTTTTTTTTTTTTTTTAATTCTTTATTTTTATTCGTGCATGGATAAACAGTCGGGTCTGTCATGCCACAATAGCAATGCAAGACCGTATATCAACAAGTGGTAACATGGTATAATAAGTTCTGTGCACAATTTTTAAGTTAAAAAAAATAAAAGTAAAAGTGACATGCAAACAATGATAGACAAGGCATATGACAGTCGAGTGTTGTTTCAAGCTGGTGTGTCTAAGTTGTAGGCATTTTAACTGCTTAGGTAAAGGGATTTTCTCTTATGAATACGTTGAGATAGTTAATAACATGCTTTCATGGGAAGTTAAGAAAATAAGTGATGTGCAAGCTTAAATGTATCGGTTTCATAACTAATATGGCACACTAGTTTAGATAAGGATGTCTTGATCTGGGGTACCAGGTTACTATATTACAGGCTAGGAAAATATGCTAGTAAAATTATTATTAAATGTAAGTTGTAAATGTCTCTGTGAGGCTAAGTTATGTGGCAAAGATAAGTAAGGCACCCCTACGGGAAACAAAACAGCTTGAAGAACATTAAAACAACGTGGATCAATAGGAGCCTAGTGGGGGCTTCCTAACCAGGCTAGGTAAATCTGAGGACCTCTGGCTTTGAACTGGCCTCCGGCACAACATTTATCCGTGTGTGACTGGTTTAAGAGAGAGACCATCCAGACGAGCATGGTTGCCCCAGTGTGGGACTAAGGTGTTTTATGCTAGACTTTATGATACCAACTTTTGCTGAGTCCGTGTTTCTGATAGCATAGCATTGTTCAGTGTCCATAGTCCTTGGTGAGATGGTAACCGAGATACTTTATGTCTCCGTCTGCATGGGGTAAATATCCCTGCGTCTCCAACAGGGTCGCAGGCCGTGGGCCTCTGTGTGGATCAGTCCGTTTCTCTTCACCCGATGCCTTTTCTAGCGTGGCGGGACATGTGCCCCTTCGAGGTTCCCTCTCCTGTGGGCCGTGGAGGGACTGTCCGCCATTTTCGCCCTCCAGCCAACAGCCTCACTGCGTCCTGGTCAGCGCCACAGGCGGCTTTGTGAGTATCCGCGTGCGGGGTTGCGCTTTTCTGGTTGAGGGTTGTTGGTATCGCAGAGTGGGAGGTTGGCTGGGTGCGCCTGCAGGCCCCGATCTGGAGGATGGGGTCGTGTGTGCTATCCGAGGACCCCGGCGCCGTTTCCCGCCATGATGAGCTTCGGCTTTGTTTCCGTCGTGGGGCCGCTCGGGAATTACAAGGAGGGTTCGCCTGCAGGTGGCGCCGGGCAGATCCATGCCATCACTTCTTTCATCGCTAGCTTGTGAGTCTGTCTTTGGGCTTTACACTTTGCCCAGAGGTAGGTGCTTAGCCAGCTAACAAACTCTAATGTGTGCTTGGGTGGCTTAGTAGGTGTTCGCTTGGTCATAGGCTGTGTCTGAGCCGCCATCTTGGCTAGGTCCTGTCTTTCCCGTTTGGCTGCATGTTTTGTCGCTTGTTCAGGGGGCGATGTGGGGGTAATCGTCCCCAGCGAGGACCGGGATGTCCCCCGCCGGTCCAGAGGGGGGGGCAGCAGGGCTGTAGTGGGCTCTCGTTTGTGAGCTTGACCCGTGCCGGGAGATCGGCCGCCTCTCCCGGGCTTCAGGCTTTTCTCTAATTTAGGCCGCATGGCCGGTAGAGGTTTTTCAGCAGTGCACTGGTGCCGGACAGGTACCGTTTTGTTTGGCATGGTGTTCTGTGTTTGTTCCTGGTCACCCTGTGCTGCTAACATGTTTCTGTTGCTCGGTTTTAGCTCACTTATGCCGGTTGTAGCAGGAGCTCTTAGGATGTGCGACTTGCCATCTTGGCTGTCAGGCCCCGCCCCCGTTGTTTGTTTTCTTAAACGGTCCTCTAGTGTCACAAATTGTCTGTGATTTAAGGATTGATTGTTACTGGTAAAACCTTTTTCATATAATCACTACATTATTATTTCCATAAGCACATGTACTTATTCATGTATTGGAAACATTCTAAATATTCCAATGTTTTTGTTTCCTTCTCTCCTATAATCTCTTTTGACCTGCAATTGGAACTTTTTTTCGAACTCATCAGGGGGAAGTGGTAAGTGTTCTAAAAACCTGTGAATGCACACAAAGGATGATAACCCATTCTAAAAATCTATTGCTGTTATTCATGTGATTTATGTTCTGCAGCTTCAAAATCCTGTTGATAATATACCCAGGGTGCATTGCAGTCTCAGAAATACATTATTTCTTTATATTTTTACCACATTGTGTATAACCTGATTTTGTCTTGGTAAGTTTACCCCTTACTGTACATCAGTAAAGTTGTATTCAAGAATAAGGTTTGTGCAAAGTCGCTCTGAGAAACCCATCTTATTTATGAAAATGTGTACCCCTATTAAGTGTAAGGTAGAAAAAAGTGCCTTAATCTCTATCAATCAGAACTATTTCACCTTTAAGTACAAGGACAATCTGATTTTAACTGGGTCAAGATAGATTTTTGTCATTTTACTTTTGTAGATAACTTTTTATTGAAAGCTTTACAGTGAGAGAAGATACATAAATATTATTCAGCAAGAAGAGATTTGTTTCAGGCATCATAGATTGTTTGCAAACAAGATCGATTACATACACAAAACCTTCCTAGAAAAAAACACTTCTGTCACTTTACATTTAAATCCTGTGTTTGAAATCCGTCCATCTTCTTTCAATCTTTTTATTTTTTTTTTATAGGACTTGACTGCATTGGCAAAAGAGCTTCGTGCTGTGGAAGATGTGCGACCGCTGCATAAAGTAACAGACTACTCTTCATCCAGTGAGGAGTCTGGCACTACAGATGAAGAGGATGATGAAATAGAACAGGAAGGAGCAGATGAGTCCACATCAGGACCAGAGGATGCCCGTGCTATGTATGTTTGGTACAGTTCGATTTCACAGGGATGCCAATACTTGCATAAATAACTTTCTCAGTCATTAAAACTTATGCACCCTTCCATTCCAAATATGTAGGTCATCTTTGAATTTGAGCAATGGAGAAACGGAGTCGGTGAAAACCATGATTGTCCATGATGATGTAGAGAGTGAACCTGCCATGACTCCTTCCAAAGAGGGCACTTTAATTGTCAGACAGGTATCCATTTCATTCTTCAGATACTATCTCTAACCAGCTTACCCATCCATGCTGCACATTTCTTCATCTTGTGTTTATTATTTCATAGTAGCTAGCATCTATTTGTTATGGCAGATGTTTATTTCTTTGCATGCGCAATAGTTAATGAACCCTCTTCATCTGTCATACTTTGCATGGATTGCATGCTTTCCCTCTCCACTAACCCTAGTAGTCAACCAAAGACTGTAAATAAGCACTAAGGAGACAAAGGTTTTCTAGATCAGTGACTAATTTTAGCTTCCCTTAAAAGGATGAGTCTTAACAGAGTGCTTTCCCTATTACACTAACTATTTTAATTGGTGCTTTTGTAGTAGAATACCAAGTTTATCTAGTTTTAATTTCAAGAGTTTACAAAATTAATCCATATTCATGACTTCATGCTTGGTGGACCAGCGGCTAGGTTAAGGGTGTTTTCCCCTTCTTTTACCAATATAATTCTTAAATGAATTATTCCAAAAGTATAAGTATTTAAAATCCTTTGTCAGGAGATGGGTTGATC